GCCCATTAAGTCCAATTGGAGGGAAATTCCTCTTGAGTTAGTTTGAAGCGATTTGAGTGAAAACCATTTGAGTGGTAAGTATAATAGTTGAGCAGGATATTTCAAGCAAGTTTTGAGTAATACCAAGATGGTATATTTTACTCATTTTAAGTGCTTTAAAATACTGACAGCCCGTATAATACATGTATTTTTATTTAACAAAATAAATAAATAATGCAAGTGTTTCATTTATCTTGTTATCTGTTCTGTAAAAATCCATTCAAGGCAATAGTTGTTCTATTATCCAAAAACACATATTTCCATCTCATCCTTTGCGCAAACAAAACTCACAATTTTCATTTTTTGCGGGTGGCATAGGCATAAGTTTCACAATCGGCTGTTGAAGCTGCGCAAACTCCAAGCGACTACGCAATACAATTGAAATTGCTTCGGGAGGAACTCTGCGTGGTTTTCTTAGAGGCCATTTCCAATAGAGTCAGAGTCGGAGTGACAAATGGGGAAATTTTTCGGTTTCGGAAACGCTCAAGTCGTGACCCATTTTCGTACAACATTTGGTGAAGAGTTCAAAGACCCCGAGTCGCCCAACGGGGTCTGTGGAGACGGGAAGGGAAAGGGGATTGGAAAGGGAGCGGGAATGGGAAGGGTAATGGGAAGGGGAAGGGGAATAAGAAGGGGAAGGAGAGGCGGACAACCCCAAAGAGCAGCGGCTAGTTCTACAGCTGTGCTTTCTGCTTTCGCTTTCGCTATCTAATTTTGTTTTTCACATTACTTTTACAAGTTCTTACTGCATGTGCAACTGCTTTTCGGGTGTTTATTTGAGGGACTTTCATGATGTCATTTTGAATGTTTGGATCTAATATCTTTGGTGGGGGCGACGAGGGTGGAAATGCATCAGCACTTTTCCTTACGCTTAAATTTTATGTGTGAGTTTCTAAAAGGGGTTGGCTTTTCGAAACCATAGAGAGCGCTAGAATCGACTCCATTAGCTTGACCCACATAAACTTTGGCACCAGTGTTTCGTTTAATTTAATAGATTTGTAGTGCACTCTCATATAAAACACAAATAACATTTTTTTTGAGATGGATAAGTAAGTTCCATGAACCCATTTATTGTTTGTTTTTACTTGCCACAACTCGTCTTGAAGAAGTTACAAGGAAAAATTTTAAAAACGACAAATTTTGAAAAAAAAATCGTTCCTTTGAGTTAAATATTCCCAATAGATTAACGAAAATTATGTAACCTTTTTTTTATTACATTTCATTTATTTTTATTTGTCCTTTTATTTTTTTAGATATATGTATGTAGAAATAAAAAAGTTCCCAGCGGACAAAGATAGTTTAAGTACCCAGTTCAGAAAGCTCTGAAAACCATTTTATAAAAAAAATTCGTTTAATGTTCTTCTTGGTTTTAAACAACAAAGTGTAATGTAATTTAAATTGTCATGTTCCTTTTGAAAAACTAAATAAACTGCTTTTATTAAGCAAATTTGTTTGCAACAAAGTTGTATTTCTCAAAGTAGCCGAATAGAAAAAACGAGGTGACGGTGATGGTTACGCGTAACGTTACAAGTTATAATTATAGTTCTGTAGCACCATAACCGTCACTTCGTTGTTTCTATTCGGCTACTTTGATAAATACAACTTTGTTTGCAAACAAATTGCAAATTTTGCACAGATATTTTAGCTTTAAGAGGAACTTATGAGTTTACCAGGAAAACCAGGGTTCAAATATCTAGCGTATCCCATAAAAGTGATCCTTTTTTTTATTATAATAAAAAAAACTACAAATCGGAATACTTACTAAAGAAGGTACAATGCGATCAAAAATTAAATGAAACATTATCTTCACCACAGTCCCGCTGACTTTGAGTAATCAAAAGAAGAAAACGAATTTTTAGCCGAGGTAAAGTTCAAGAACCCCATGAAAACGTCAACACGCATACGCATACATAAGTTGCCATCGCCACTGACACCACTCTGTGCCATAAACTGGCTCACTGGCAGTGCTATTGGACGGACTACTTCCCCTACCCCAAAGGAAAAGCACCTACCCAAAGTTTTCCCAGCACTGAGAACGAGAACGAGAACGAAAGTGAGTCTTGCCACGTCCAACAAAGCTTCAGTGCCTTCACCCTCATTCAGGCAAACAGTTTTCGGCGGAGAACAAGAAGTTCATTGAACTTGAGGGAATTTCGGAAGCCAAAGCCACGCCACGCACACCATCTCCACCACAAACTCCAAACGCCCTGTCGTCACACCCAAAATCATTCCATTTGATTCTGTATACATATGGAGGTTTATGCTTAGGTGGTGAACTATGCGAACGAACTCAAAAAGTGCTTAGATTGTTGTAAGCTAGTTATTTTTTTTAATACATGATCACCACAAAAGATTTTCCAAAAAACTATAACTTTTTACAGACAGTTTTGATATAAATATTTTTTAACTATTCGAGTAAATCGCATAAGTCCAAGCAAACAAGAATATATCTATTTGCACGTTTCAAACATTTGAATTGTAACAAATTCCCTCGTATTTAAAGAATTTATTCGTGTTTTCCAGTAACTTTGAGAAAATTATATTTACTGTTAATCTAACTTATGTAAAATTCAGTTTTCCGCCTTTAAACAAAAGGAAAATAACATAAAAAGGAAGAAAGTTTATATACTCTTGCAGCCATAACAAAAATGTGTTGTTTCATATAACGACTTTATATTGATATTTATGGGCTCACAGGGTCTTATTAAAATTATCAAAAGTTTGCAAAGAAATAACTATAAACTTTCCACATAGTATTAAAGTGTACATAAGTACAGATGTAGTCTTAATCGGCATCACTAGACGATGCTTTTCTACGAAAAGTAGTAATAAATTAAATTAGTATTAGTATTAAATAAATTTTTCCCAAAAGTCTTATTTCTATATAGGTTGTAACTTAAAACGGTACGGACATATCCCTGTTATTTTAAGACATTCGGTATTAATAATTTAAAAATCGGTCGACTAAATCAAATAGCTGTTATGGTAACAAATGATACCATCGTTGATCTTTAATATATAAGGATTAAAGCCGGAACAAAGCATTTTTTTTTTAATTTTTACCTTTTGTCATGTAGGGGCTATAGCACCGAATTTACTGGAAAATCAGCCTAACATAACTTTTCCAAAAAAAGACAACTTAAAAGGCAAAATTAAATTTTCTTATTGCAGCAAGGGTATATGAACTAGTGCTAGCCGAGGTTTTATTCCTTTCTTTTTATTGATGAAAACATACAAAATATTATTATGTTAAGAAAAAAATTTTTTTCAAGCCGTAAGTCAAAATATTTAATAAACGTTAGGCAAATATTTTTTTGTTGTTTATTTTTTTAATCGTAAAGGTAAACAATTGCTCAATAGCTCATTTTTTTCAACTCGTGTTTTGTTAGCTAAAGAGAGGAAATCGCACTTACAGCATATCGATGTTATTTAAACAAAAAAAATTTAAACCTTTAAATAATTTACAAAGCACAAATTTAAATCTTTAAAGTCATCTAGAGATTAAACCTTGATTTTTCGTTACAGTTGAAATTCATAATTCAGAAAATTACAGTAAACATTTTTTTATAACACCATTTTATTTTTAAATTAATTTTCGTTTTTTTTTCCTGCTTTCTTACCTATCGTATTTATTATCTCCAGTTCTGCTAACTGGATTCGGTCAGCAATAGCTTATTTTATAACATTTACTCAAAGATTGAAAAGTGACGAAGCCAACAAGCTAGTAACCTTAACAATTCGGATTTATTTTATACGGAAAACAAAAAAAAAGCAAGTTCATATACCATTGCAGCTATTGCAAATAGTAAATATTCTTGAGAACATTAAAATTATGATTTTAGTCGGAAGTTTGCAACGCATTGATGGAGACATTTTCGACCCAATTGATTAAATGTATTCTTGATCAGCATCAAGAATGGCTAGATCAGTCGATCTAGCCATATTCGTCAGTCCGTTTGTTTGTTTCTACGCAAACTAGTCTCTCAGTTTTAAAGAAACTTTATCAAAAGTTGTCTTTTTGTTGCAAGTGGTATATAAGTCGAAACGAGCCAGATCGGATGACTATTCATATAGCTCCCATAGAAACAATCGGGGAAAATATAAAATAAAATTATAAATTTGCTGTTTTTAAAATTTTTTTTATATAATTCTTAAATTGTTAGCGATCGTCTATTATTTAATCGGTTTAAATTTTATCAAATTCGTACGATTATATCGTATAGCTCCCATGGGAAGAATCGAAATATTAAAAAAAAAAATGAAAACAAAATTGTAACTCTCTATTTTTCAATGTTTTTTGTAACTCTTTTGGACATAGAAATGGGTTAATAATTTAGAACTACGCTTTCATTTCATTAAAATTAACAAAAAAAACCAACAAATAGCTGCCATAGGAACGATCGAATAATTGAAGTGAAAATCATCTTGGCTTCAATGGTTTTAATAGGTACTCTTATTATTCGAATTTTAGGTGTTTAATTTATGCAATCGCTGCAGGGGTACATAAACTTCGGCTTGCCGAAGTTTGCTGCCTTTGCTTGTTTTAGGATGAAGTTTAAATCGAGAAGAATATATAAAAAATTCTTGTCTCCCAAAGTTTTAAAATTTATTTTTTCTCAAAAAATAAAAGCTTTAATTTATCGACAGACAACAAATGAAACAGCTAAAAATTGTATAAATCAACCATGAAATACAATTCTAAAAATATTCCATACCATATTGTACAATGTCTGAAGGCATTTGCCGCATTTAATGCACATGTACAAACAAAAATTCATTTTAACTATTTACAGCCCAATAAAAAACAATAGTTTGAAAAACGCTCAAAAAGCAAAAGTAATTTGAACAATTTTTTGTACGATTTTGTTTATTTAATTTTACTTTACTTTGTTGTATTCTTAGTTATTTTTCACATTCATAAAAAAAATATGTAAATAATTATTAACATCATCAGTTGTCCAGGTTTGGAGTTTAATTAGAGTTATCAACATATAAATTAACGCAAAACAAATTAAACTAGTTTGTTTGGATTTAATGGTAATAATACGCGCCTTGAATGTTGATCCCCAATGGTGCGCTTAGTGCGCGGCAACACAATATTATATATGATCTAAAATAGCAAAATGTACTCAAAAATTACAAAAAATACGTATTTAAATTTAAACTTAAATGCCGAAACAATCCGTGTAAAAATCGAGGCTTTCAACTGCCTACATTTAAAATGGTGCAACGAATTTAGACTAATAAATAAGACGGATGAACCCCAATCTCCTGTGTGAACGTGTATGTAAGTGGATTGGTATTTAAATAGGCTTATTCAGATGTCATTTGATTGTTGTCTTCGGCCAACAGGTTGTCCTCTCCTACTGCTGCGCCGGTGCCGGCTGTGGCTGCGGTGCCAGGCGGCTTACAAACCCAATGCCTCCGCGGATGATCTTGCCCACGGCCTGCGGCGAGCGGGCGGCCAGCGCCTCGAACGTTATGCGGAGCTCGGCGAAAGCGGTGCGCGGATAGGGATTACGACGCGAGCTGTAGCGCATCACTAGATAGTGATAGTAGATAATCGGGGTCATCAGTCCTGCGTGGCTCCTGAAATTCCAAATCATTGCCCATGTCAGCATTGAAGTGTTCTTCTTTAAAAACACATGCATGAGAAACACTCACATGAAGGTCAGCACAATGGCGAATGGCATAATGAATATCTCGCAGAACGCAGTGGCCTTCAGGATATTGGCCGCCTGGAACTCCACAATGGAGATGATGAAACGGGCACCCCACCACGAGTTCTGTCCAATTAGCTACAAGTACATGGTCATTAGTTAGGTGCTAGTCTTGCTAAGCGGGATAACCCTGTTATCCTCACATCCAGCAGCTTGAGCGAGTAGCTGGAAGCATGCAGCACCGAGTACAGCAGCACGGGGATCAGAACCAGCAGCGTCGGCCGGATGTTGAAGAAGATCAGTGAGTACATCATGTAGTGGCACGAGTCCTCGGCGAAGAGTCGGGCCAGAAACTCCCGGCTGAAGGAGAATGCGGGCACCCTCTGATGCAAACGCAGGGCAGAGATGGCCGCATTGGCCAGCAGGACCTTGCTAAATGCGCTTTGTTGTGAGCTGTTGTATTTGGAGTAGGAGTAATTTGAGTAGGAGCACTTACAGAGGTGGTGGGCCAAACGGCTGTACTCACGTGAAGATGGGCAGCACGTAGCTGACCGTAAAGAAGACGACCAGCAGGCGCAAGGCCCAGAGCGCAGAATCGATGCGGTTTGTCTGGAAATGCTGGATGAGCTTGGCCGGCGCACTCTGTGGCTGGGATTGCTGCTGTGCGGATCCTTCGGAGCTGTTGGTCTCGGCGCCTTCGGAGCGCGGTGTTTGATCGGTGGGTGTGCTCATGGTGAAGTGGCTTCTGTGCTCGCTGCTTAACGTTCAATTTTCAGTCTGCTCGGCAGTTATGAAAAGACAAAAATGTAGAAAAAATATTGTTATGAGGTTACTTTCCGTCTTATCGCCGGCAATTCGGCTGCTATCTGTTGGCACTGCCACAATGATAAGGTAAAATCGGCAAATAACCGCCACCTTATCTTATGTGTAAGTGGGTTTTAAACCTTAAATTTGAAGAACAGCACAGCGCTAGTGATCCACGCTCTATGACTGCAGCATTGGACTATTAGAGTCTGCTCTGCTTTTTGGGGCATGAGTGGCACGCGCTGTAGCTGTAGGTCTTAATTGAAAGTTAAGGCCAACTGTTAAACCAGTCGAATGGAAAGTTGCAACCGACACACACACTTAAAACGAGAACGGTCGTTTTAATGTTCGCTTGGGCCACCATGATTTGGCCACAATTGCAGACAGTGCTTTGCATAAGCAAAACAAAACGAAAAGCGACAAGCTGCCGCTATTAAAACATCATTTACCTGTAGAGTTGGGCAATATTAACTGTGCGGCAGCGGTTTATGATGCCCAGCAGAGATTTCTATTCGAAACTCAAAACTAATACCGCCGAGTTACACGCCGCACAATGTGCATGTTGTTACGAAACGCGGAGTACACGTCAAAGTGTGAAACACACACAAACAGGTGGCAGCAGGTGGAAGGGGGCAGTTGGGGGTGCATCCTACGTGTACTTCTGAATAATTAACTGGCTAATGGGGCAGCCCCATTGATTTGAAGGTCCTTGGCTGGTTCTACATATGTAGGTCAGCTATCCCAACCGAAGTGTGGCCAAATGATGTCACAAGACACACAGGTAGACCGGGCGGACAGGGACAGGGACAGGGGGTACACGTCAGAGATTCGGATCCAGAAGGTACGGCTACGGCTCGCAAATTAAGGCTGATTGACCTGACTGAACCCAACGCTGAGCAGTGACACGGCGCTCAAAGTGCGGGCTGTCGAAATTAGAATTGGCTGCTGTCGGAGGCTAATTCCGCCGGAAACAATTGAGTAAATCAAAGCGCAGACCTGCATAGTTTTCTACTCAATAACACATTACCATCCGATTTGGACGACGTCGGGCGAAGAAAGTTGGCCCAGGTAGTTTCTTTTTTGGTTTCTAATCAGTAGTTTCCTGCCTTGGAAACGGTTCAACACCAATGTCCTTGCAGAGCGTGATTTCTGCTTAATTTGTGAGCCGCACTGAGCCACTGACCACTTACCGCTGCTGGGAATTGTCTCTCCTGTGATATGGCTCCAAATTAAATACAAGTTTTTCACGTAAATACGTATTGGTCGGAGCTCTCGTGCGAACTAGTGGTTGACAGCGAACCAGTACCAGTTCGATAGAAATGAACTAGTCAACGCTCACAACTGCAACCGATTAACAGTGCTCTGTTTTTCTCGATCTTTCGAAATGAAAAGTCCACGTACTTTACAGTTTCAGCGGCGATAACATTTTAAAGATTTATTTTAACAGACAATGAAAATACCAGTTTACATTTGTTTGTATTTCGTTAATAAAGTTCTAAATGCATAAAACATTTCAATGCGCCCCATGCCGCATTTTAATCCTTTTGCTTTTTGAAAAGCAAAGCACAAGAAATGTATATAAAATTTGGTGATATGTTTTGCCCGATTGCCTTGTAAATAATAAATTAATAATAGTGCTGACAATTTGAAAATACCGCTCAGTTAGGAATCCCCCTATTATTCCGTATCGGCAAGAACATCACTTATAAATAGCTGTGATAGCGTGCCAACAGCTTCAGTTCTTCAAAACGCACATTTAGCTCCTTTCCTTCGTGTAAATCATCATGGACGATGAGATTTCGCTCCCCGCCGACACACTAGCTATCCTCAACGAGTTCCTCTTGGAGCGTTCCAAACGCGAAGCTGAGGAGGAGATTCAAATTGCAAACAAGACCGGAAAGGATGCGCTTTTTGAGGAAGATTGGGTAGGAAGATCTATGAGTAGCTTCAACACTTGACTTGACTGAGATTTCGCTTGCAGCAACTGAGCCAGTTTTGGTACAACACGAAAACTAAACTCACTTTGCGCGATGTTGTGGGCAAGTTGCTGGCGCAGCAAAAGGAGGATTTGGAAGACTTTCACATAGCACTTCTCTCCTGCCCATCGCTTTACAAGGACATTAGGAGTATATATGACAAGGGTGAGCAGACAAAATACAAATCCGACAAGCTGTGATTATATTTGCTTCATTAGTTCGCATCTTCGAGTACGATCAGCGATTCGCAGCCTTTGGCACGGACTTTGTGCACTACGACCTAAACTGCATAGGCAGCAATCCGGACTACCTGAAGGAGCACCACCAGCAGTACGACCTGATCCTGGCCGATCCGCCATTTCTGTCCCAGGAGTGCATCGCCAATACATGCGAAATAATCAAGAGGCTCCAGAAGCACCCCAGGGAGTGTAAGCTGATACTTTGCTCCGGCGAGGTGGTAGAACCCTGGCTGACAGCGCGCCTTCCCGTGCTCAAGTGTAACTTCCGGCCGGAACACGAACGCAATCTGGGCAACGAGTTTGTCAGCTACGCCAACTTCAATTTAGACGAATATATTGAAAATAAATAATGATGAATGCCAGAGTAGAGTCTATTTCGCAGTCAGGTCGGCCTCCTTGCGCTGCTGCACCAGCTCGCGCAGACCGTCCTCTTGATCCTTGAGCGACTTCTGCAGGAACTCCTTCTTCTTCTCGAGCAGCTCTATCGCCTTGTCGCACTTCTCCTGCTTGGCCTTGAGGTCCTCCCGCATATTCTGGACATCGGTCAGCAGGAACATGCGGCCCACAGACTGATAAACTCTGCAAGGGAATAGAACAACTGAATGAGCCATCGGGAGATGATTAATCGCCGCGGTTCAAGTCACCTTGTGTCGTCGGAGAGGCTACTCGTGCCCTTCTCCGTCAGCTGGTACTTGTGTTTGCCCGTCTTGACCATGTCGCACTTCATGTCGATCATGTTGATCTTCTTGGTGGTCTCCAGTTTGTTTATCTGCATCTCAGTAAAGGCCTGCGAAACAGAAGCAGCGGTCAATAAATGGGCAAATGATTCTGGGGAGCACGCGCTTCTTGTCGGCAGTCGCTTTTTGCGATGTGCCCACCGCTCACCTTTTTTAACTCCATGTCCATTTGTGCCATTTTGCCTGATAGTTGTTCCTTCACGGAGAAAATAGCCCGAATCTGTGCTTTTCGCTAAGAATTTATCAAAAATTGCAACACCTGCAGACTGCTTCTAGTTTTCTTACTTTTTAAGTGATGGGAGCTCCGTCCGCACCCGGTTGATTAACAGCTATCGATAGAAAGCTCTGTGCTATCGATGACAACAAATGATGATGACACAGTTCACCCGTTGGAAACAATTGGGGTTTTCGACAAATATAAAACTCCTTGAGTATTCCCTAAACTACTGAATCTTTAAATTGCTGAATATTGTTGATGAATTTAAACGGAATAGATTAGTTAGGAATTCAATGGAAAATTCGGAGATTCAGCCGTTAGAAAATACCCAATCCCATTTCCACAGAACACATTCGCCATCTGCTGTCAGCTGATCTGAACAGCTGTAGCTCATTAAAAAATAAATGCCTAGTTGGAATTTTGTTAAACACAAGCGTAAAAGACACATAACTTGCTTGGACGCGTTGCTCAATTCAAACGTTATTCAAACATTACATTTTTTAATATATCTCAAAATAAAAATTTTGAAGGCTCTGATTGTCAGTTTCAAAAAATGTAAGTGCTTTTGAAGAATCATTTGTTCGAGAGAGTTTCTAACAAACTAGCTAGTTTTTTTTTACTCATTTTAGTAAATTAAATATATGTAGCCCTTGAGATTTCTTAACTTTTGATGCATAGGACATAATCAAAAGTTATTAGGAAACAAAAAAGGCAACTTTCCTCATTTCAGAGCAGCTAACGCCGCCTGGGCATTAATTTTCTCCCAAAAGTGTGCATCAATTTGGTGAAGCGAATGTTATAAAAAATAGGTTTTAAGTTTGGGGAAGACAAATTCTCACTAAATATTTTTAAACATAAATTACTTTTTTACAATATAACTTAAAACTATTATTAAATTACGGGGCAGGATGGTTTCAGCGACTTAAAAAAAAAGATTTTTGCGTTTTTTTTTTCTCATGTATGAGTGGATATATGTAAATATTCAAGTTCTTTACACAGTAAATGCCTATATATGAAGAGTATATAGAATTTTTGTATATATATATATTATATATCCAGTGGCGGCGGTCGGTCGTAGTCTCTTTAAAAAAAAACATTTGTATCGGACCATTACTATTTGAGTTACGTTACGCAACGACTTAAAAACGTATACGTTTTTATAGTAAATTAAACAACACTATTGGTTCTTATAATAAGAACAAATCTTGCTCTATTTAATCAATTTAAAACACTACAAAATTTTTAAAAAAGGACATCTTTTCCTTGAATTGAGGAAATACAGGGTAAATTATTTCTTAAATTGGACCCGCTAAATATTGATTGTGGTCAGTGGTAACACAAAGCTCTCTTCGGAGACCAGAATGGTGGCTCTTTTGGTTAATTTTCCATTTTAATTTTTGAAGCGCACGGTCGGTCTAAGTACCCCGTTTTAAAGAATGGTTATCAAGTAATCCTGCACAGAAAAAATTCGGACGTTCAGAAATTGAGAATTTGAGTTCTCAACTTGAGGATATATTTTGAGTAAAGATTTTGCCCAGAACTCACATTAAGAATATTTGTACCCATTTAAAAAAAAATTACCTAAACTACCTAGCCAACACCCAAGATTCCGAGTTCACTTCAAGTTGTGTGAATCTTTTTTTTTATTGTTTTTCTTTATTTTTATACCCTCGCAGAAGGTATTATATTTTCAGTCAGAAGTTTGCAACGCAGTGAAGGAGACATATCCGACCCTATAAAGTATATATATTCTTGATCAGCATCACTCGGCGAGTCGATCTAGCCATGTCCGTCTGTCCGTCCGTCCGTTTCTACGCAAGCTAGTCTCTCAGTTTTAAAGCTATCTGCATGAAACTTCCCCAAAAAATTATAACTTTGCTGTTTTTTAATTTTTTTTTAGATCTTCGACATATAGTAATGGTTAAATATTTCAGAATTACGTTTAAAATTTCATCATCATCACCATAGGAACAATCAGTAAAAGTAAAGTAAAAAAAATTATAACTTCGCTGTTTTTAAATTTTTTTTATTAGTTCTTCGACATATAGTAATGGTTAAATATTTCAGAATTTCGGTTTAAGTTTCATCAAAATCGGACGACTATATAGTTCCCATAGAAATAATAAAAATATATAAAATAACTATCTAATAACTGAGCTGATCATCATAATAGCTTTAATTTTTTTTAAACATATACGCAAGTAAATCATAATTTTAATGTTTTAAAAAAATTAATTCTATCAATAGCTGCAAGAGTATATGGACTTCGGTTTGCCGAAGTTTGCTTCCTTTCTTATTATTTTATTAATGCTTATATATCATTTCTAAATAATATCATTGCTTTAAATACGAATTCGTCTTTTCAAATAATATAGCTGTGAGGCTTTTGCTTAGTGTCAAGTTAGAGCGTGGATGAGTGGTTAAGGCTTACATCTAGAGCGCGAAAGGTCCCGAGTTCAATTCTCAGTCGAGGCGTGCGCTTTTCATAAAAATATTTCGCAAGTAAAAAGATTGATTTAAACACGTAAATTAATAATTAACAAAGACAATAAAGTTGAAAGAAAATGTTAGTTACATTTTTCGCCGATTTATTTTGGTAGATTCTCATTTTGAGTTTTATCATTCTTGAAAATTTGTACTCAAACTCAGTAAAGTGGACTCAAAGTGAGAATTTTTGCTCTTGGATTGTTTTTGAGTACGAATATTCTCAGATGAAGTGCAATATACTTGATTAATTTTCTCTGTATACTTTTGTGAAAAACGCGTCTAAAGTTTTCTACATACCGCATACCTGCCTGGAACACGATTACGAGATAATCGGTATCTCAGCGAGATTTAGTCCGGTCGACAAGAAATTTTCACAGGATATTCCTGAGATGTTGTGCTATTAAAAATTATCAAAATATTTTTTTTTTAATTTGCACGCCTTCTTAAGCAGAGTCAGATACTTTGCTGAAAAGTTATCAGGATGTAAGCAGTACAACATTTTAATGCTCTTTTGGCAGTCAGATAATTGTTAATTTTTGTACCCTTGAAAATGGTAATATAATTTCACTTTAACGTTTGCAACGCATTAATGGAGACATTTCCGACCCTATAAACTATATATATTCTTGATCAAGAAACTATCTGCATAAAATTGTCCCAAAAGTTGTTTTTAATTTTTTTTTAAATTATATTTTTCAATACATAGTAATGGTTACATGTTTCAGAATTAATTAATTTAAATCGGAAGACTATATAAAATAGCTCCAATGGGAACAATAGGAATGATGATGTTTTAAAAATATTTAATTTTCGGATTGCCGAAGTTTGATTTCTTGCTGGTTAGTTAATCCCTAAAGTTTTAATAAACGTAGTTTGATAAAATTAAATTAATACTAAGGCACAGCTCAATTTTTTTTATTTTATGATCTTTAGCATGATTAATTAAAAATAGTTAATGACTCTTCAAAAAAAGTAATTTATTACTTACGGCCCCTGTTTTTTTTGCAATTAATACAAATACATGTTTGATGGGAATATCTTTGTTTCCTTATTTTGAAAATGTTAGGAGTAAGATACCGTTTGTAAATAAGTGTAATTGGGTATAGCACCCAATTTAACTCGTAATATAAGACATAGTATTTTCGACCTAAATAGTAAATTGAATGTACGGATCCTGTCTCCAGAATTTAATATACATTGCACCGCATTCCGGGTGAAACCACAGCTCTTCGATTTCAGCCACAATATTTCAGCATTGGCGATTAGCCCTAATTTCTAAGCACGAAGCCATGCAGCTGTTTGTGGGGCTGAGACCTGTGTCAGCTCGTCATTCTTCAGTCACCGGCGGAATGGAGCGCTGGCAGAACAAACTGGCTGTGGTAACGGGCGCCAGCGGTGGAATAGGAGCCGCCTGTGCTCGGGCGATGGTCGGGGCTGGACTGCGGGTGGTGGGCATAGCACGGCGGGAGGCCAAGCTGAAGGAGCTGAGGAAGAGTCTGCCCAGTCACCTGCAGGCCAACTTCATTCCACGGCGGTGCGACGTCTCCAAGGAGGATCAAGTGGTCAGCGCCTTCGAGTGGATCGAACGCGAGCTTGAGGGCGCCGACGTGCTCTTGAACAATGCTGGCATCACGCGCGAGACGGAACTGGTCACTCCGGGCAACACGCAGAAGCTCAGGGAGGTCCTCGACACCAACGTGATGGGTGTGATTTGGTGCACCCGCGAGGCCTTTGGCAACATGAAGCGGCGGGGCGGCGAGGGCCACGTGCTCATCATCAACAGCATCGCCGGACACCAGGTGCTCAACTTTATCGACGTGCTGCCCTCGTTCAATATCTATCCGGCCACCAAGTTCGCCATCACGGCCATCACGGAAACCTATCGTCAGGAGTTCCAACTGCACACCAACAAAATCCGGGTGACCGGCATTTGTCCCGGGGCGGTGAGCACGAACATCTTCCCGGAGGAGATCCATTTCTACGTGAAGGACATGGCCAGGCTGGATCCAGCCAACATAGCGGACGCCGTGATGTACGCTCTGCGAACGCCACCGCATGTCCAGGTGGGCAGATCTCCTCTGAGTTTAGCCAATATTAACACACTAACCGATACCGATTACGATTCTACCCTTTATCTTTAGGTTCACGAAATTACTATCAAGCCTATGGGCGAAATCTTTTGAAATCCAAGCTGTACTTAAGCTATTTCTGAAGAGTAAGGGATGACCTAAATAGTCAACTATGTGATGCCGGATTGTACATTTGTAACAAACGATTAATACTATTAACAAATTTTGATTTTATTTTTAATAATTTTTCTGAACTTTGCAAACAAATAAGCTATATCATTTTAAACAGGATAAACAGGAGTAACTCAATGCGTTACCCCCAAAAATGAGGCGGTATATTTATGTGCAGAAATAAATAAACTATACATGCTACTCGTGAAAAACATATAAGGGTATATTGTACTTCCCAAAAATTATGAAACAGGCAGAAGATAGCATTCGACCCTAAAAAGTCGATAAATGAAAACAAAGAAAATGTCTGATACATTTTTACGGGTTAACCAGAATTTAAAATTTTATTTTTATATTTTAGCAGTGTTGGTGTTAGAAAAATAAGTTTATTTAAAATAAAACTCAAGCGTTATTTGTCAAGCTTAATAAAGGAATTTAAAGAGTAATCATTATATGACTAAATAATGGGGTGAAATTGAAACTGAACAAAAAGTAGTTGTTTTGAGACTTATTTAAAACTCAATCCCTCAAGTTTTGCAATAATATTGGAGAAAAAAGTAACAGGATTCGTATGGTGCTATGCACAAATGTTTTAGTACTTGTATAGACTTTTTTTTTAGGAATTTCGCTTAAAAATGCATTTTTTGTTTCCGTTCCTGACAAAAGAAGAAGAAAAAAGTTCCCAAAATATATCAGAAATTTTAAAATTGCCTTTCAACCCACCGTTTTTCCCTCCTAAACTTTTGTACTTACCTGCTCAAAAAAAAAATATTTTTACTTTAGGGAGAAATTGCTTTCTTTGACCTGTTACACACTTTTAGAAAATTATTAAATTCTCTTTTACTCTTAAATTAACAATTAGTTAACATCTCTTCAAAAGAAGTTAGTGAAACCCTAGTTTTGGCCCATTTGGCCCATTGACCATTTGGAGCAAGACAAAAATTAATTTTGTTTAGAAGGGTCAGAAATTCGTTCATGAATGGTATGGTCTGTGAAATTTTATTGTTTTGTAATTTTCAGGGGACTTTGTTGAATGACTTTAGAGCTTAAAAAGCTGTACATAAGGCGACTAGTTGACCTATTTAATAAGTAGAGCCCTGGGCAAAATAAAAGATTTGACAATAGCAACAGTACGAACCTATGAAGTGTACTGGAATAGCAATGTGTTCAGCACTCTCAACGCGATCGGTTTAGGGCTTCCAGTCGCTCCATCAGCGCTTCTTCATTCAACCTGTGCATGCATAGGAACTGTCCGTTGAGGAACAGAACAGGAATGTCATGTCTGAAAAGACGCAGGAACCGAACGTTTTCCTTGCGGTCGATGTAAACCTTCTCCAGACGGTATTGTCCTGCAAAACGCTCCTCCAATTGGTGCACTAGATCATCGCACAACGGACACGGCTCCCTGGTATACAGAGTGATCAGTGGCAGGCCCTGCTCCTGGTCGATGCTTGGCACCCTTAAATAAATTAGATTAATTTAGTAAAAGTAAAAGTAAAAGCATGATTGCAATAGTTCATAGTTCCCTTTGTGGTCATGAGCCATTCGCTCGATAATCCTTAGTATCAGTTAGGCTCATGTAGCTTATGTAGTGACTCTTATAATTCACCTAAAGTTCATGGGGTTTATGGTCTATTCTTTAAACATTGCTTAAAACAAATGCTGTCTACCGAAGGCGTTTTGTGCCAAGGGGTAAATGCAAAATGTGGGACAGGGCAATTTCTATTTCTAAATAAGATAATCAGCAATTAAACAAATTTAAACATCTTATTCGAAAGAACTCGCGTTTTGTGATTCGACTTAACGGGAAAAGCACTAGTTCCAACCGAGTATTCCGGGCACTAACCGTGTTACTTCTATGAGAATCGTGTCCCTAGCGCTTAAGTATTTTAGTGCTGAAATCTCAGCAGTTTATATTTCGGGATAACCCAAAGTAAAAAGGTATTTAACATAAAATATTCTTTTAAAAGGAATGTACCTAATAAGATATTTACAAACAAGAACTAAACTGTGTTTTTTAAGAAACCAGGCTTTCAGTCAGCTACCAGGCTATTATTCGTAATCGGGACCAGGATCCGAACATATTTAAAATAATTGTTGTAAACTGAATACTGGGTTAATTAATACTGAGCAATAGGAGTCATGAGTCATAAGCACCATAAGCTTTTCCGTTTTAGATCAGATCAAGTAGATCATGCTTATGGCCATGATTTACTCGGACTTGCATTTGAAAAATATATATAGACAAAGGGTCCTATGACTCCACGCAAGCACGACCGAAACGCACAGTTTTTCGAGAACCAAGACCATGGAGCGGCCATCCGGCATGCCCATGAAGGTGCATCCCAGTCCGCCCGCGGGAAGCGAGTGCACCAGGTGCGTGAGCAGGTGGCTGGCTGTGATTTGCCTGAAGTCGTGCGTGCACAGGCGGTTGGCGTGGAGGTCACCGAGAACGCCTTCTGGCAGTGCCTTCTGCGTGCCCGTGACCATGTTCCAGGTGTGAATCTCGCTGGGTGTGATGGGCTGTCTGTCTTTCAGTCGGTACATTGCCTGCTCGTGGTCCTGCTCCACGGCGAACTCGCGCAGCAGGGCGAGCGGTTGGAGCTGCAGCCGCTGGGCCGTCTGCATAGTGGTCCAGGAGAGGGCAGCGGCTCCCAGAGTGCTCAGTCCAGTGTTCGACGCCGCTCCAGCCTGGTTGCGAGTCCGTGACGGTGGCTGCTGAACAGCCATTAGTTCGTTGGCCAGCACGCCGTGCGTCGGCTGCATCACCTGGCAGCGCAGATCGCCCGTGATGATGCACTGGTCGCCCACGCGCTGCAAGCTGTCCAGGGCCATTTGCAGGCCGCCGATGGAGCAGACGTCGTCCTGCAGGGCGAGCGTTTCGCACTGGAGGCCCAGGTCCTTGGCCACTCTGGTCAGTCGCACCCTGCACTCCGGAGCCGGAGTCGTGTTGGAGGAGCAGACGATCACTTGTTTGTACTCCTCGCGTGGCACACTGGTCCGCTTCACCAGCTCGTCCAGCACCATCCCCGCCAGCTGCTGCTCCTCCGCCCGGAACGAAACGCTCGGCATTCTCACTGCTGCCGCAATCACCACCGCGTTGCTGTAGGATCCGTCCAGGCGACCCTGGGCAAGCGGACTATGGCTAAAGTGGCGCAGTAGCTGCCATGCACTGTGGAGATCGAAGTTCGGTTGGCCACTTGGACACCATAAGTACATACTTACCATCTGGGGCTAAAAGAGCGCAGACGTCCCGGCATTTTGATTCTGTGGGTACAATAATTTACATAGATGCGCCTAATATACTAAATTTTTTCCGGTGTTACCTGATTTTGTTTACATCGCTCTATATAAATAACACTGGTACCGTGTACCTCTTTCAGACTGGAGTATATTGAACGCTTGAAATATTGGGAAAATAATGATAACTATAGAGTAGATATTACAAAAAAGGCTGTGGCTATGGTTTTCATTATTACAGTATGTTCATTAATCTACCATATGTTGAAATATGAATTTTAAAGGTTTTTGACCGCAGCTGTGTATAAGTACTTCAGATTCAAATAGTTTGCGTATTCCCGAAACGTCTGAATCTCCGAATTTCTGAAAACTCAGCAGAAATATACTGAAAATCGGTCAGCTGTTCGCCAGCTGTTCAATACCAAATTCAACTTGCTGAAACTTCAGCAATTCAGAATGCCCAAAGTAAAAAAGTTACTTAACATAAAATATTATTTTAAAGAACTAAGCTGAGTTTTTTAAGAAACCAGGCTATCAGTCGCTGTTATTCGTTATCAGGATCCGAGCATACATATTTAAAAACAATTGTGGCCAACTGAATACTGGGTATCAATGAGCGAGAACCCGTTATTTTCAGTGACCACTTGTTATTCGATAACATTTAGCTAATATCGACATTCGTTATCGGCGAGTGGTTGATTGTTTCGCAACAGCTGTTGTGATGAAACGATAACAATAACAACAGGGGAGAAAGTTATCTTTGAATTCAAAGCCGCAGAAACAGAAAAAAACCTAACCAGTTATTACCCTGCAGTCCGCCGACAGCGCAAAAGGCACAATTCGCAAAGGCAACCCAATGGAAGTGACCTTCAAGAAGGCCCGCCTGGTGGGGGACAGAAGTGCCACCCCCTCAGAGGACATACAGGATGAGGGCGACGAAGGCTCCTCCGGGCCCGACGCGTTCGGGTGGTGGGCCCTGCCGGAACCGGCGCTCCTCATGATCTTCGAGCAGCTGACCGTGGTGGATCTGCTCAAGGCCAGTCGCTGCTGTCGGCGGTGGCACAGCATTGCCAAGGACGACCTGCTGTGGCGCCACAAGTTCCAGGAGCACTTCAGGGCCTCCCCGAGCATTCCGCTCAAGCCGGGGGCCGAGAGTTGGCGGTCGGAGTACCGGCGCCTCTCCATGCACATACCCTTCGTCCAGGCGCAGCGACTGGAGCCCACGGTGGAGCACAACCACGGCCACACGCACCAGGTGCTGCACGTGAGTTTCGCCCACAACGGCGAGATGTTCTCCACCTGCTCCAAGGACGGCTATGTGATAGTAAGTCCCGGTCAAACCTCCAGTAGGGAGATGCCTAAGCTCCTGGCTCCTTCTTGCAGATCTGGAACGCAAAGCACCCGTGCTCGGAGAAGTATGCGCACAACATGAAGCAGTTCAGCTGGAAGTACTCCCAGTACTCGCAATTCAATCAGAGCGACACCCTGCTCCTCGTCTCCGGCGTTCACTTTGGCTCGCCACAGTCCACTTCCGGGGAGATTGCCGTCTTCTACCTGGGGGCCACGGAGTCGCACCTGCGCTGCCGGGTGGTCAACCGTCCGTACGACATCTTCGGCACTTGGTTCAGCGACCAATATCTGATCTCGGGCGACCTGCACTGGCTGGCGCACCTGGTGAGCACCTCGGTCCTGTGGCTGAACAAGGCCAACCAGGAGATCGACTCCGAGCATGTGCCGATCATGAGCCAGCTGTACAAGTTCTACAACCGCAACGCCAGTTCGGTGCGGGCCATAATGGTGGCCAGGTGTCCGTGGCTCGACGAGACCAACGATCCGCTGGCCAGGCCAACCGAGGAGGAACCGGAGGGCGAGAGTGCTGCGCTCGCCGCGCAAAATAGCGACCAGGGGACTAGTTCGCAGGCCAGTGGCAATCCGCTGTCCCATGCGGCCAGCCTGCGACGCACAAGGAGTGCCACTCCCGAAGAGAACTACTTGCCGGACATCAGCGAGCGGCGGTCGAGAACGCGACCCGGAGATGCCACCATTCACTACTTGGAGGAATACCGGAAAGCGGTGGCCTCCGCCAACGAACCGAGCGAGGACGACGAGGAGGAACTGAACTCCATGGATGTGCAGGAGGAGTACGACGAAATGGAGAACAGCATGCCCAAATATCTCATTTTTTCGACGGGTTCCAAAACGTTCACGCCCCACCAAATCGGGTTCAAGCGCATACGCAACGTTTACTTTCCCAAAAAGCTGGATCCTGGCCCAAGTCTGAAGGAGAGAATTGCTGCGAAGCGGGCCGCGGAGCAACAGCAACAGCAAACGCCGCGCACCGATCCGGATTGGTGGAACTACGAGTCGGTCAAGGATAGATTTGACCATGTGGACAAGGTGATAGATCTGCACGGGCACATCATTGGCATGGCTCTGAGCCCGGATCACCGCTACTTGTACGTGAATACGCGCCCCTGGCCGAAAAACTACGTGATCACGAATCCCTTGGAGCCGCCACCCATCGCCCAAGAGATCGACATCCATGTGATCGACCTCATGACCCTCAAGCGGGTGGGCAACATGCTGCGCGCCCACAAGGCCTACACGCCCAGCACCGAGTGCTTCTTCATCTTCCTGGACGTCTGCGAGGAGTATGTGGCCAGCGGGGCGGAGGATCAGCACGCCTACCTCTGGGACCGGTACTATGGCATCAGCCTGGCCAAATTCAAGCACTCGGACGTGGTCAACAGTGTGGCCTTCAATCCCCACGACTCGGAGATGCTGGTGACCACCAGCGACGATTACACAATCAAGGTATGCCAACAATCCATTGATCCATTGTGACAGTGCCTAACGCAAGTACTCATCCACAGGTCTGGCGTTCACGGGCAAAGGCAAAGGAGTTCAATATCCCCAACAACGTGAGCGAGTCATTCGAGCTCAAGCCCAAGAACTGAAGCTAGCCTCCGACTTCAAATCCCCAAGTGGTTCTTACTGCCCAAAAGTATCTCTCTCTCTTTGTTAGTCTAGGTACTTGCTGCTAGTTGCTTCTGTTGTTAACGGTTATAATTATACATATTGAAATTGGAGTACGCGCTACGAGCTGTCTGCTTGTTCAAAGTCAATTCTTCCGGCTGGTTTCTTCCCATTGTCCGGAGATTCGACAGGCTCTACAGGTTCGGCTGGCGGAGGAGGGTTCGCAGCAGATGTCGATGGTGCGTCCGGACCTGGGGTTTCCCCGTGGTCGTGACTGTGCTTGGCGTTCCTCCTACGCTTCTCGGGATGGCCAAAGCAGTGCTCGCAGTCCTCGTCGTCCTCCGAGGAACTCTCGTCGAATGCCAGGGGCTTCTTGTAAATGCAGCAGCCTAGAAAGAACGTGAACACAAGTCAGACATTGTCTTTGGAGGAGTAGCAGGGCTCACATTTGGACTTCTTGCGATTCAAATGCTCGTTGTCTATGACCCCGGCATGGAACACTACACGGCGTTCGTCCCGCGGATGTTCCAGGCGCAGTTGCAGTGTGGGTGTGGTTCGACCAGCCTCCGATGGAGTTTTGGCATCCGCCTCGTCAATTATTTGAGTTGTCGTCCCGTTGGTTGCCTCATTGTTCTGCCTTTGGGCCATTTTCAACAAACAAATAGCAGAGTTCTTAGTGTGAACGTATTAAATGTCTGACAGCTGAACAATTTTCGTCCGCTCACACTAGACTAGGGCTACTAAATAAATTTTTTCCACTGTAAGATTAGTGAAAGAGTAATATATAATATAATATTGAAGGATTCCAATACTTGGTCAATGAAAAACAAATCATGTTTTTTTTTAAAGTCAGATATGTTTACTTGAATATTTTATATGTATTTTAATATTGAAATCAACATAAAAAAGAACATATATAGTTTATAACAATAATAAATTGTGAAAAACACCTTCATTTTATATCTAACTTATGTCAAGAAGACAAGAAACAGTGCTATTAAATGAGACTAATAGGTTGTTCTTTTTTAGCTAAATTAGAGGAAAAACTTTGTGCGCCAGTCATATATATATATATTTTAACTAAAAACTAAATTTGACAATTATTTTTTACTGAGCCATCATCCACTATCCAAGGGGGTGATTTTAGCTCCATCAAACTGTTTTGACAAGTGTCCCGCTTTTATTTTACTAAATTCTATGGATTAGTGATTAAAAGGTTGTCTGAGCCCTAAAAAATGCAAGTCACGGTAAGGAAAGCTTATTTCACCATCTAGGGTTAACTCGAAAATTTTTGGCACGGCAAAACCGTGCGGACTATCTGTGAATGGTGCTCTACTATTATATTCCTTGTTCAAAAAACCGCGTTTTATTCAAAAATTTAAGAGCGATAACGTTGAGCTGTGAGGGTTCACCTCAATGAATGAACAGCTGATCTGTTGCACGAAGGCCCCTGCTAAATGTAGGCCAGAAAATAAGTTGACGATCTGGCAACGTCGCGAACAAACGTCACATTTCAGCTGTCAGTCAGTCGTTCGGAAAATGGCTGCAATTGTGCGATTTAATTTGTTAACAAAGTCGCAAATTGGTAAATAAACGCCGAATATTTTCCCACATCCACTGCCAAGTTGCTAAGTAGCATGTTCTGCATGAACCTTGCTATTGCCACAAGTGCTCCCAGCCCTGAAAACAATCTATTTCTCTTGCCATCAAATTATGTAATTTTTGCGCAAAGCAAAACAAAAGTCCAGTGCAATGCGCAATTTATTGATTTTGCCCCATGTGTGCCTTGCAGGTGCGGCTTTGCCGGTCAGCCTGCAGCTGCAGCGGTTCCAGAGCACCCAAGCCCCGCCCCCAGGAACTCCTCCGCCACAAACGAAGACCAAGTTCGGTCCGCTGGCGGACGAGGATCGCATCTTCACCAACCTATATGGACGTCACGATTGGAAGTTGAAGGGAGCCCTGAAGCGCGGCGACTGGTATAAGACCAAGGAGATTGTGCTGAAGGGTCCGGACTGGATCGTCAACGAGATAAAGACGTCTGGCCTGCGCGGCCGCGGAGGAGCTGGCTTCCCCAGCGGCATGAAGTGGTCCTTCATGAACAAGCCCGGCGATGGCCGCCCCAAGTACCTGGTGGTGAACGCTGATGAGGGTAAGGAAAAGGGGCTGTGCACCCGAGGGGTTCTATTTGACTGATTTTGTGTTTACCCGCAGGAGAGCCGGGCACCTGCAAGGATCGCGAGATTATGCGCCACGATCCACACAAGCTGGTGGAGGGCTGTCTAATTGCTGGGCGGGCCATGGGCGCCCAGGCTGCCTACATCTACATTCGTGGCGAGTTCTACAACGAGGCCTCCAACATGCAACTGGCCATTGCCGAGGCCTACCAGGCTGGTCTCATTGGCAAGAACGCTTGCGGAACAGGCTACGACTTCGATGTCTTCATGCACCGAGGCGCAGGTGCTTACATTTGCGGCGAGGAAACCGCTTTGATCGAGTCGCTGGAGGGAAAGCAGGGAAAGCCGCGCTTGAAGCCCCCATTCCCCGCCGACGTTGGCGTCTTTGGCTGCCCCACCACGGTTACCAATGTGGAGACGGTAGCCGTGGCTCCGACCATTTGTCGCCGGGGCGGTCCATGGTTCGCCAGCTTTGGGCGCACTCGTAACTCGGGCACCAAGCTCTTCAACATTTCTGGCCATGTGAACAGGCCTTGCACTGTGGAGGAGGAAATGTCAATCCCGCTGAAAGAGTTAATTGAGCGCCACTGTGGAGGAGTAACTGGTGGATGGGACAATCTGCTAGGCGTCATTCCCGGAGGCTCTTCCACCCCCATCATACCCAAAAATGTCTGCGACGACGTAATCATGGATTTCGATGGCTTAATTGCCGCCCAGACATCGCTGGGTACCGCGGCTATCATCGTTATGGACAAGTCGACGGATGTCATTAAGGCTATCGCCAGGCTAATATCCTTTTACAAGCACGAGAGCTGCGGACAATGCACGCCCTGCCGAGAGGGAATCGGCTGGATGAACAAGATTATGACCCGGTAAATCCCCTAAATACCCCTTTATAAAAGCAAAATGAACTACTATTTTGATTTCTCGCTTTAGATTTGTCAAGGGTGACGCGCAACCCGCTGAGATCGATATGCTCTGGGAGATATCCAAACAAATTGAGGGACACACTATTTGCGCGCTTGGTGATGGTGCCGCTTGGCCAGTTCAGGGCCTTATTCGCCACTTCCGGCCCGAGATCGAGAAACGTATGCAACTGCATGCAAAGCGCGCCAGCAATTAAGATACAAAGTTATAGCTAATTTTATTGATTTCATAACCCGAGCGCGACTTGATGCATATAAAGTGAATAGTTCTCTAAACGATGTAATTATTTTGGTTTTTAATGTGTTTGATAACAACCTCAGTATACTCTTAACCAAGCGCCTGGTGTTTTGGTGGAAAGCGTGAATCTAGACTGCTCCCCGCATTGAGCGGGTATAAACTCACATTATTTCGTGGCATCGCAATATTCCGGAATCATCAATAGGTTCGACTGGCGAAGCAAAGTTTTATAAAACAACAGCTAGAGTACCGCCCAATTCTCATAGGATTTCAATTACTTAAGAAGTTAAAATCAACATTAAGTCAACATTAACCACATAGAATAAAACAATTACTAGAGTTTTTATATAGTTTGTTTTTTTTTTTTTCGATGACGATTTTGTAAAGTACAAAACGATGATTATTTAAAGTTTTCTTAAGGTTTATAGCCACTAATTCCAAGGCGATAGCAGATGGTTTAAAAGATAGTACTATCATTTTTGAACTAAAAACATAAAGGCTGTTAACAGATGGTTGCCCACAGGGAGCATGTGTATATTAAAGTCTAGAAAATTAGTATAAGGTTGTCACTGAAATCAGTAAAATGAAACCCGATCAGAGTTTGATCCTTTGGGTGGTTCTTACATTCTGCAGCTTGAATTTCACTATACACCTTGTTCAGTTTACTGAACGATATTAAAAATATTTAGAAAAAGTGTATAAAGAATTAAGTCGAAGAATATGTATACAATACTAGATTTTATCCCTTTGTTTTGCTCACATACACATTCATTATTATTCTTATTCATTTTTTGTATTTACTCGTATATAATTATTTATGGTTTTTTTAGGTATGTATTCGAGTTTAGGTTTAATTCGTTTAAAAGTTTTAGATCGTTTTTAGTTTGATTCGTTTTTCGTTTGTTTAACTTGGCTCAAAGCGTTCACATATTGCTTATCTATGAGAAGGAACATAGTACAATATTTCAGCTTAAAAGACTAAACAACATTTCGAACAAGTCACTAGAAGAGTTTTGTATTTTCATTTATTTCGCTTGTTTTTCATCAATAGATTTTTCTCGTTGTAGGCAAGAGTTGCGACAGGATTCGGTTCCGTTTATTGAATAGCATCAGGCGCACAACATCGTGTAAATAAGCGTCAACTAACACTGCTATGTATGTTCGGTAGACTGTATTCTATATGTATTGTGTATATATTTTGAATTCTGCAGAAGGTAACGCCAACTAGTTGCTTAGAGCTTTTGAAAAACATCTAGATAGTTCCGTTCGGTTGGGAGGTTGGTTTAAGTTTGAGGCCCGGGGTCAGGGGTCAGGGTTCGGAGTTCGGTATTAGAAAGTCAGGGACTTGGGGAGGGCGAAGGTAAAAAATATATCATATATGCGTGTATATAAATGTGTATATATGTATATCAAGTTTAGTTTAGTATCACACTAGTAGAGATAATGCGAAGAGGCCTGAGCTCTATACTGTTTCGGTGTCAGCTTGATCAGCTTGGGGTTGAAGGCCCCCAAGGCCGCCTCGTTGGTCGACGAGGGGGGCGGCGGGGCGGTGTGGGTCCGGAAGCGCGACCTCAGGAAGTTCTGCATGGAGCGCAGGCGGATGATGGGCGCGCAGGGAGATTGTCGAAGCGAGTTGTGGTTGAGCGCCCAGTAGATCACCGGACTGATGGCAGAGTAGAAGTAGCCTAAAAGAGTGCGTTGGTCAGTTGGTCACTTGCTCAGTTGGTCAGTGTCAGTGACTGGTTGTAGTGCCCTCGGCATCGAACTCACCTAACAGGAGGCTGAAGTAGACGGAGGTCTGGCTGCAGTGCTGCTTGCTGCCCAAGTTCTTGTAGAAGATGCAGAAGACGTGAGGTGCCCAGCAGGCTATAAAGATAACTGCCGAGGCAATTAGCATGTTGGCCAGGTGCCGGCGCGACCGAAGTGTGGAGGTCTGAGGTAATGGTATTCCGGGAGTCGCAGGTCCCTTTCCCGACCGGTTGATGCGCTGTCGCTGCGAGTGGGCGCGAATCTCCCTCATGGCCCTGAATAGATTTAATTTTAATTAACTTATTCTGAGAACTCAAAACTACTAACACCTTGTTAAATATATCAGTGTTTTTGTAATTAACGCAAACATACATTTTTCACATTGAGATGTAATAATAATAATAACATAACTACAGTCTTAAGTTTCATTTCCGTAACTCTTAACGCAAATATTTCCTTTAATCTTTGAAACAAGAACAAATAATTTCAACTTATAAACGGTTAGATTTAAAAAAAATAATTTTTTTTTCCGGTGAAAATTCGAAGTTACACTTTCATTTTAATAGTCGTTTCAAAGTGTTTGAAAATACAAGTACAAGTTTAATCGCGTTTTCCTGAAAATTGTGTTTTCAAAGTCAAATCAACATAACTCAAATACGGCTAAACGCCTCAAATTAGTCTCAAATTTTTACACGAGCTTCTTAAATAAATTTCTAGTAATTAATCGAAGTTATTTCTCACCGATAAATATATTTTTTATTGGTAATTTAAGGTCAAAATGTTGGACAAAAATCAACTTGTTTTTGAGAAACCGCCATTTTGTCACGAAACGTTATTTTGCTTATTGCTTCCATTATTTAGTAGATTTAACATTACTTTAACAATTTGGAGATATAGTGGTCACCGCAAAAAGTATTTTTTGAGAGGAGCTCCCGGAGATCAGCTTAAGCTCCTTGCCAAATAAATATTTGTACGGATTTTTCGGCCTTGTAACTAACTAACTCCTTAAGAACAAACAACTATTCGTTAAAATCTCTTTTTAATTTCTATAAATATAAGAGAAGGGCGCAGAAGCCATTATATTATTTAAGCCATTATTTGAGCCATTATATTATTTAAATTAGACCTATGACAGCTTTATGAAGGAGTTTTCCCAATTTTAACTATTTTTTTTAAACAAAAAATTGCAGTATATCGGAAAAGATGGGTAGATAAACAAAAATGTAATTTTGCAAAAATTTTTTTGGATTGACAGCTTAATTGATAATATATATTGATATGATATAGTCGTCCGATCATTTCCATTTGACTTGATTTTTGCTTAGCTGAGGTATTGTACAAGCTGAGTTTGTAAGGGTAATAAAGTCACGATTATCTCAAAACTGGGACGCGATGGAAAGTTTACAATTTTGAAAAACATAACGTTCAGTATTGTGTGTCTACCTTTGTAATTAGAGCAACTACTAAATGCATACCTGGGCGATATGGGATTGCTGGAGCGGTAGGAGCCAGGTTCGAGGGCCGATCCGATGGAGCCCGGCTGCCGTGGGTGCAGAGTGTGCAGCTGGATGTCCCCTGGACTGACGGCCATTGGACCGCCGCCGGTGCCCGTGCCGTTACCATTCGAGGTGTCGTCCCCCGTGGTGGCCCCGCCGCAGGCCGCCTGCTGGGCGTTGGGGCAACCCGTAACGATCACCATGTGGGTCTGGCGCCTCAGAATGGGGATGGGCAGGGGAAGCTCCCCGTGAGCAGCCCGGGCGGTCAGCGAGAGGGCGCAGAGCTTGCGACGCACGCCGTAGTGGTTGAGCAGCACGCCCACGCCCGGCAGCACGAACACCGCGATCGTGTGGAAGAGGATGAAGGACATGAACATGGCATTGGCGCCCAGGTCCGAGGTGCAACTGATGGTGATGGGGCTCGGCGTGGTGCTCGCCCCACCGCCCTTGCCCATAGTCGATCTGGCGATGATCTTGTAGGCGAACAGGAACGGAGTGCTGATGGCCGCCGATGCTAGCCAGGAGAGCAGGGCCAGCGAGACGTGTAAATAGCGGCGCTGGCGCAGCTGCGCCAATCTCGGATGCTTCACGGTGGCGTAGCGGTCCAGGGAGAGCATGAAAAACGAGATGGTGCTGGCCGCTACGGGCATGACCTGGTGAGGAATAGTGAGATGCATAGTATAATATAGATTTTTTGAGCTTTATTAATATTACTGTTCCTCCTCGGTTGGCTTAAACAGTATAGTCTCCGATTTAAATAAAGACGTGGGTGCAAAGTGAGTTTATTAATCAACAGGAAAAGAAGCAAACTTCGGCAAGCCGATTGTTCCCATGGGAGCTATATGTTATGGTCGGCCGATTTAAATAACTGAACAAAAAACTGCGAAGTTTTAATTTTCTTCTTAAATTTTCTGTTTGTTCCTAGGGGAGCTATATGTTATAGTCGTCGGATCCTGCAACTTTTGAGAAAGTGTTAGGAAGATAGCTCCAATGGACGACACTCCTAATGCTGCTGATCAAGAATATATATACTTCATTGGGCCGGAAATGTGTGTTAACTGCGTTGCTAACTTTTGATTGAAATTAGCGCAGCTAAATAGCAAAATCTCTTATAGGGCTACCAGTGTGATACTTTTTAAAAATCGATTTTTTTTGGTTTATTGGATAGTTTACTCTTTAAAAAGCGTTTAGATTTGAAGGGATGAAAATTGTCAATTTGGTATTTAAAAAGGACAATTTTAACTTTGTTCATTTTATATTTTTTAAAAATTTTAAAGGAATTACTTTAAAATTATTACCCTTTTTTGATTTTTTTTTTGTTACACCTACCCATTTGGCTGGAATCATGTCAGCAGTTGGATTACTTGTTTTTTGGAAACTCCGAAGACTCCACATAGCACCGTTATTACGTAATTTTTTTGAAAAAAAAATCTTAAAACGAAGTTTAAAACATACTTTATTATGTAGAAAAAATTTGAAAACCTTTTATCGAGTACTTTCATTTAAAAAAATTACCAAAACTAGCCTAATTTTTCGTGGGTCACGCTAGTAATCTGAATCTCTTCAAAATATTAGTACAATTTTTGCATTGATGGTGTTTATGATTTGATTCTGAATCGTATTACAATATATAAATCTTATTCGAAAATCCAGAAAATAATTTTCGATCAAAATAAATCATAATGAGAACGGAAGCTAGCTTCGGCAAGCCGAAGTTTTAATACCCTTGCATCCGAAATGATAGAAAATCATTGTTTCAGGCAAAAAAAAGGGAGATATACGCAAAAGTTTTCGAAAACAAACAAATTTATTAAGTTTTACCCGATCGTTCTTATTGCAGGTATGAAATATAGTTGCAAGTACAAAATTACGAATTTAAATTATCTTTTACACTGCGCGAGCAGTTGCTCAGTATGAGATATATATGATAGCTTTAGGATATAGTCAACCGACTCGAATTGAAGTCAAGCAATGGGTTCAAAAATACTTTTAAAACATAATTTAGGGCAAGAACCCGCGAACTTAAAATGGAAAAGCAGCCAAATCAAACAAATTTGACACGCTTGTTCCTCTGGCAGTTATAAACGGACATGGACATCAACTCGTCTAGTCATGCTGATAAATACTAATATAAGTATATTATTGTAGTTTATTTTTTTGGTTATAGATTAAAAACTCAGGATTGGATTTAAGTTTTTTGATTTATATTTTATACCTTAAACAAGAAAGAAAGCAAACTTCGGCAAGCCGAAGTTCATATACCCTTGCAGCTATTGCATGAATTAAATACTTTTGAAAATATTTAAATTATGATTTACTTGAGTATATGCTGAAAAACATTGAAACTATGATGATTTGCAGCTCAATTATAAGATAGTTATTTTATATATTTTTATTATTTCTATGGGAGCTGTATGATATAGACGTCCGATTTTGATAAAATTTAAACCATAATTCTGAAATAATTAAACATTGCTATATGTCGAAGAACTAAACAAAAAATTAAAAAACAGAAAAGTTATAATTTTTTTTTCATTTATTTTTCCGATTGTTTCTATGGGAGCTATATGCTATAGTCGTCCGATTTTGCTGAAAATTAAAACATAATTCTGAAATACTTAACCATTACTATATCTCGAAGAACTAAACAAAAAATTAAAAAACAGCAAAATTATAATTTTTTTCATTTATTTTTCCGATTGTTCCTATGGGAGCTATATGCTATAGTCGTCCGATTTTGATGAAATTTAAACCGTAAATCGGAAATATTTAACCATTACTAAATGTCGAAGAACTAAACAAAAAATTAAAAAACAGCAAAGTTATAATTTTTTTTCATTTATTTTTCCGATTGTTCCTATGGGAGCTGTATGCTATAGTCGTCCGATCCGGCTCGTTCCGACTTATATACTACCTGCAATAGAAAGACAACTTCTGGGAAAGTTTCATGCAGATAGCTTTAAAACTGAGAGACTAGTTTGCATATAAACGGACGGACAGACGGACAGACGGACAGACGGACATGGCTAGATCGACTCGCCTAGTGATGCTGATCAAGAATATATATACTTTATAGGGTCGGAGATGTCTCCTTCACTGCGTTGCAAACTTCTGACTGAAATTATAATACCCTCTGCAAGGGTATAAATATTACCATGTATACCGCATTTGGAATATAGCAATAAGTACTAGAAAAGATATTTTTATACCCTTGCAGAGGGTATTATAATTTCAGTCAGAAGTTTGCAACGCAGTGAAGGAGACATCTCCGACCCTATAAAGTATATATATTCTTGATCAGCATCACTAGGCGAGTCGATCTAGCCATGTCCGTCTGTCCGTCTGTCCGTCCGTTTATATGCAAACTAGTCTCTCAGTTTTAAAGCTATCTGCATGAAACTTTCCCAAAAGTTGTCTTTCTATTGCAGGTAGTATATAAGTCGGAACGAGCCGGATCGGACGACTATAGCATATAGCTCCCATAGGAACAATCGGAAAAATAAATGAAAAAAAATTATAACTTTGCTGTTTTTTAATTTTTTGTTTAGTTCTTCGACATTTAGTAATGGTTAAATATTTCCGATTTACGGTTTAAATTTCATCAAAATCGGACGACTATAGCATATAGCTCCCATAGGAACAATCGGAAAAATAAATGAAAAAAATTATAACTTTGCTGTTTTTTAATTTTTTGTTTAGTTCTTCGACATTTAGTAATGGTTACATATTTCCGATATACGGTTTAAATTTCATCAAAGTCGGACGACTATATCATATAGCTCCCATAGGAACAAGCGGAAAAATAAATGAAAAAAAATTATAACTTTTCTGTTTTTTAATTTTTTGTTTAGTTCTTCGACATATAGCAATGGTTAAATATTTCAGAATTATGGTTTAAATTTTATCAAAATCGGACGTCTATATCATATAGCTCCCTTAGAAATAATAAAAATATATAAAATAACTATCAAATAATTGAGCTGCAAATCATCATAGCTTCAATGTTTTTAAACATATACGAAAGTAAATCATAATTTTAATGTTTTCAAAAATTTTTAATTCTTGCAATAGCTGCAAGGGTATATGATCTTCGGCTTGCCGAAGTTTGCTTTCTTTCTTGTTGTATTAGGAATAGGCGTATTCTAACATATGAATATGTATACTTAATAGAGTCGGAAATGTGCTCACAGTATTTAAAAACCCCGATTTTAATTTACAATCACAAAGTAAAATAAATTACCACCAAGTGCATAGCAGAGGAATTTTGTGTGGCATAACCATAACTCACCTGTATGTAGTGTATGACCTTGCAGAGCACAAGCGGCAGCGATCGCGTGCGACGACTCATGGCGAGATTGAGGAGCGTGACCGGGGCAGAGATGCCGGTGACCAGCAAGTCGGCAATGCATACGGCCAGGAGTAGCGGGTTGCGCAGTCGCACCGAGGAGGCCGAGCAGAGAGTCAGCACCAGCGTAGAGTTGCCCACGACGCCGCCAAAGACCACGAGGCCGTAGCTGACCGCCAGCAGCAGCAGAGTTAGCGAGGAGATGGAGTGCTCTGGGTCCATGTCCATGTCGTACGGATTATCCAGGCTAAAGTTGCTGTAGTCGAAGTCCTGATCGTACGCAACCTGGTCCGAGCGCAGCTGGTTTGGCTCCTGGAGGGAGAAGTGCAACTCAGCGGAATCCAGGCCATGATGGCGCCGGTAGGAGTTCTCGTTCTCCCACCACTGCTGCAGATTGTCCCTGTTCATGATTTCGATCCCGCGGCAGAATCCGTCCCCGACTCTGATGCTCCTGCTATCGGCCTGGTCCGTACTCGATTTGGGCGATCTTTGAGGGAGACGCGTTTGCCTGGTCGCCTCATTTCATACTAAAGAGCTGTGGCTGCGCCATGTGGTGTGCGACATAAAAAGGTTGCAAAGAATAAAAGCCATCATTAGTATTTTTGTCGGCCACAAGTTCACCCCCTAAACAGCCACCCACCCACAAGTTTTTCGCCACACATCTCTGCCCCCTTGACACTGACACTCAGGCGCACTTAAAGATTGCTGATGCTCTTCCGTCTAAGTTCCGTCCGCCACCCAGACCCACTCATGCCCCTTGTCAGCGGAATAAATGGCATCGCAACCTTGCACTTTGTGCACTCGACAAACAACACCAAGGTCTGCCCTTCTGGTTTGTTCTTCCTAAGCGCCTGTTTCCGTCTCTGTTTTCCAGGCACGAACAAATTTGGAAAGCTTCCAAGTCAAAGATTGAATTTAACTTTATTTCATTTCATTACCCATTGATTTAAAGAATACATATACATCACGGCCGTAGCGCGGGAGCTCCACCTTTCCAAAAACCCCTTGTCCTCAAAAAGTTTATAAAACAAATTAAAAAAAAAAAAACTTTTCAAAAGTGACTGACGGAAAAAACCAAATAAATCTAAAGAAGAGGGTGAGGCGAAACCGACACCCCAAATGGTAAAAACCAAAAAGGCGCCAAAAAACAAAAATTGTGATGTAACGAAGATTTCTAAAAGAAACGCCAAAAGCTTTGTTTTTGGCGTGCTTACGTAATCATCAAAACAAGAATTAAATTGTGATTGATAAATGATGGATAATAAGCCCAGAACAATCGTATTGATGCTTTCATAAAAGTAGTAATCTATGGGTGTCGGTTTCGCATCACCAACACTGCTTCGGAGAATAGCCTCCTCTAAGCAAATTGCAGTAAGCAAAATGTCTTTTTAAATGCAAAGTTAGAAACCCTACTATAAGAAATCTAAAAATAATTTCATTAATTTGGCCAGGCAGACAGAAGAAGTGCTTGTAACTTAATTTACGTGAAGCTCAAAAACAAACGAAGTACCGAAAAACTCTATATAGAAAAAACGTTTGAAACCGCAAAAACTAAAAAGATTTTACAAAACATGATGAGGTGTCTTCCTTATCTAAGCTTTCTTTTAAATATAAGATTTCCTTTCTGTGATCTGCTCCATCAGCGAGATTCAGGGGGTGTCGGATTCGCCGCATGTTTCTATGCGGTTTTTTGCCGACTGATCTTTCGTTGACTCCTTATACTTTAACAATTTTAATTTTTATTTGGGCTGGTTGTTAATCCCACAGGCAGCAATCTGTATACATAGGACATTATTTTAAAGTGTGGTAAGTTGTACGCCATTATCTCATTAGTTTTAAAACGGTCACAAATAAAAGGTCCGCCAGTATTGTCTGTTGAATGGTCCTCAGAATTTCAAAATTTGCCAAGCTTACTCTAAAGCCCACACCCTCGAATGCACGGCACTCTGTGTCATTGTACAGGTCAGTTATACTGATTCAAAAATCTAACCATTATTTTACAAGTTATAAGCATTATTGTATTTTCCGGAAGATGGCGTCACAGAAAGTTATGTTTTTAGGTCCAAAGACTTTCAAAATAATTTTTATGAATTCTTGTTGATTCCTCTGAAAACACACTATTAGTTGTTATCAAGTTTTTGTTATATCTTGCAGAGGGTATTATAATTTCAGTCAGAAGTTTGCAGGTAGTATATAAGTCAGAACGAGCCGGATCGGGCGATTATAGCATATAGCTCCCATAGAAACAATCGGAAAAATAAATAAAAAAAATTATAGCTTTGCTGTTTTTTAATTTTTTTGATTAGTTCTTCGACATTTAGTAATGGCTAAATATTTCAGAATTACGATTTAAATTTCATCAAAATCGGACGACTATAGCATATAGCTCCCATAGGAACAATCGTATAGCTGCCATAGGAACTATAGAATAATTAAGCTGCAAATCATCATAGCTTCAATGTTTTTAAACATAGGCAAGTAAATCATAATTTTAATGTTTTCAAGAATATTTAGTTTTTGCAATAGCTGCAAGGGTATATGAATTTCAGTTTGCCGAAGTTTGCTTCCTTTCTTGTTTAATTTTTTTTTAGTTCTTCGACATAAAGCATTGGTTAAATATTCCAGAATTATGGTTTAAATTTCATCAATTTCGGACTACTGTATCATATAGCTCCCTTGGGAACAATAAAAATATTAAAAAAATTTATTTTTAATTTAACTTTTTTATTTAAAAAATTTTTTTTTATAAATTCTTTCTGATTAATTAATAATTTGACTGTTCAAAATAACGCTTTTAATTTTTTTAAAATTGGAAAACAATATCATGTAGCTGTCATAGGAACTATCAAATAATTAAGCTGAAAATCATAATAGCTTCAAGTAAATCATAATTTTAAGGTTTTCAAGAATATTTAATATTTGCAATAGCTGCAAAGGGTATATGAAGTTCGGATTGCCGAAGTTTACTTCCTTTCTTGTTTTGCATATGTTTTTAATAGGGCCAAAGTGATTGGGAACAATTAGGTAAGTTACGTTTGACTAAAACCAAGAAAATTACCAACAAAACAAACAACAGCTTACCAAGAAAAGCGGTAAAACGTGGATTTAATTGTTCTCGTTTGGAAGCTAGATTTGAAATTGAAGTTTTCTGTTAATATTACAATTTGCATTTTATATCGATCTATCCATGAACCTTCGTCCCTTTCTACGCAAACTCAGTTTAAAAGCTATAATGAAACTTTCCCAAAAGTTGTCTTTTTACTGCAGGTAGGATGTAATTCGGAGCGAGTCGGATCGGACGACTATATCATATAACTCGCATAGAAATAATCGTAACACTTCGATAAGTCGAAGTTTGTACACCCTTTGTAGAGAGTATATTTAACAAGAAAGAAAGCAAACTTCGGCAAGCCGAAGTTCATATACCCTTGCAGCTATCGCAAGAATTAAATATTTTTGAAAACATTAAAATTATGATTTACTTGCGTATTTAAACCATAATTCTGAAATATTTAACCATTGCTATATGTCGAAGAACTAAACAAAAAATTAAAAAACAGCAAAGTTATAATTTTTTTTCAATTATTTTTCCGATTGTTCCTATGGGAGCTATATGCTATAGTCGTCCGATTTTGATGAAATTTAAACCATAATTCTGAATTATTTAACCATTGCTATATGTCGAAGAACTAAACAAAAAATTAAAAAACAGCAAAGTTATAATTTTTTTTCAATTATTTTTCCGATTGTTCCTATGGGAGCTATATGCTATAGTCTTCCGATTTTGATGAAATTTTAACCATAATTCTGAAATATTTAACCATTGCTTTATGTCGAAGAACAAAACAAAAAATTAAAAAACAGCAAAGTTATAATTTTTTTTCAATTATTTTTCCGATTGTTCCTATGGGAGCTATATGCTATAGTCGTCCGATTTTGATGAAATTTAAACCATAATTCTGAATTATTTAACCATTGCTATATGTCGAAGAACTAAACAAAAAATTAAAAAACAGCAAAGTTATAATTTTTTTTCAATTATTTTTCCGATTGTTCCTATGGGAGCTATATGTTATAGTCGTCCGATCCGGCTCGTTCCGACTTATATACCTGCAATAGAAAGACAACTTTTGGGAAAGTTTCATGCAGATAGCTTTAAAACTGAGAGACTAGTTTGCATATAAACGGACGGACAGACGGACGGACAGACGGACAGACGGACGGACAGACGGACATGGCTAGATCGACTCTACTAGTGATGCTGATCAAGAATATATATACTTTATAGGGTCGGAAACGTCTCCTTCACTGCGTTGCAAACTTCTGACTGAAATTATAATACCCTCTGCAAGGGTATAAAAACAATTAAGCCAGCCAATTTGCCGATGAATTTTTGTATCCTCCCTATAGTAGTATTATGATATAGTTGTTTTAAGATAGTAAACCATAACTATAAGTCGAAGTATATTGGTATAAATTGAAAAGCAATACAGTTATAAATTGTTTTCCTTTATTTTTTTCGATTGTTTCTGTGGGACCTGTATGATCGACTCGGCAGTGGAGCTGATCATGGATATATATATATTTTGTAGGGTTGAAAATATCATTGAGATATTTGTGTACTTCAGTCGGGGCTCTCGAATTTAGAGCTCTGTTTTTCGCCGATCTGAGGACCAAACCTATTGAAAGTTAAATGTATATGTATGTACATATTAATTTACGTCACTCAAACGTCAGCAACAAGTACAAAGGTGACAAAAGCCAGGCCAAAAGCTGAAAAGGAAAGGCGGAAGAATGGCCGTAAGGAGGGTCAATGTGCGAGGGGGAGCGATGATGACGAGTTTTGCCATTGATGTTGATGCTGATGTGAAAAGTGTCCGCCACAGGTGACTTAATGTGGCACAGGCAGATACACAGATACATGCAGCCGGGAGTCCTGTCTTTGCCGAAGCCAAAGCCAAAGCCAAAGCACTGGATACACATCCCACTGCCTTACTTTCCTTTTGGCAGGATGACGTTAAGGCCTGCCCGTAGCTTTTTGTCTGTCCTTATTGATTTCGGCAGCTTTTATATTCGTATTAGGGGGCGAATGGTCAGAGGTTGTTGGGTTGTCGAGAGTCCTTGTCCAGGCTTCTCCTCCTTTGTTGGCTTATTCGTGACCGCCACAATGGTAAAAAAAAAAACAAGGCATTGTATCTAAGCAGTGAACAAAATAATACATGGAATTAATAACCTTTTTGTGCAATTGCGGACTAATTTAAGGCTGATTTTGAAGAACTGATTACAGGCAGGAAACTTTCTGTTTACTTTCCATGTCGAATGGCGGTTCACATCCAAATTCAAATGTGACAAGGGCTCAACGTAGTGGCTACGTAAGGAGCGACACCATAGTTGCTAACCGTAAAAACGCGCTGCATGACAGAGTCAAAAATAACGGTACATAGACACTCTCGCACACAAACTTACACTAAAACAGGCACACATATAAACAAGGATTCCCCCACTTCGAATACGTAACAACCTACCCTGTTTTGCTTAACGAAATACATATATTGTGGCTGATCCTGCTGCTCTTGAATGTTGTTGTAGCGGTGTTGTTGCTGTTGCTTGTTTTATCGAAGGCACTGTAATTTACAGTTAGAGCATTTTGCTTCATCGGTTGTTGCGCCGTCGTGTTAATTAATCAAATATTTATTTTTATTCCTGTGAACCGTACTCCTCTTACGTACTCTTGTAAAAAACTCGTTATAAAATGCTGCCCGTCGACATTTTCAAAATATTTTGTTGATATTGTCAAAGGTGCGTGCGTGTGTGAGTGTATGTGCGGTTGGTGTTTGGATGTATGAGTGTCGGGGGGAACGAAAAAAATATAAAATGAAACTCAAGGCGCGACGTGCAGGAACTGTTCTTCGGCGGCGCACATACTCGACAGGACCACGGCGGAAGACTGAGCCAGGCAAAAGTCCGCCGGAGCTCCGGCCGCATAGTGTCACTCCGAAGTCAAGAGGCGTCGGGTGCGAGAGAGCAGGGAGAGCTTTTCGCGGGAGCTTTCAGCACTCTGACTTTCGCTTTCAATCAGCAGGACATCAGGACGTTAGTCTGGGGACTGGGACCGGGACCTCAGTGAGCACAGGTCAGAAATCGGGGAATACCGTCAAACATCCCTTGGAGGGTGAGCCTTTGTCCAAAGGCAATTCACAGAAGTAGAGACGCGGATCAAATTAACAGACAGTCCCAATCTAAATACTAACACTCTTTTTTATTTAAATATTCTTTTGTATATGATTAAAATGCATGATGTACTAGTTAATAGTTGCAACTGGTATTGGATTCATTCCATGGTATACTTTATATATGTAACCTATGCGCTTAGATCGTAGATTTACGTGTTTTATAGTTTGTTGTTTGCTTTTGTTCACTCTGTTCGAAATGAATGCAGAATACTGTTGTTACGTGTAAATTAAAAATTACAAATGGGTAAACATACATTTTGTGGAATCGACTGTAAGCCTAAAGGTGGGCGGCAATAAATTATAGAAAAAGGGAAAAGGTTAAGGATAAAATTGTATCAGTTACGAGAATAAATTAGAGTTTGGAAACCAAATAGATTCTATCCGTATTTTGAGATTATTGTATAGTATGTAGATAGCGAGTTTAGTGTAATAATGAACTTTTAACTTATAGCATACAATTTTCTGGATTTGTTTAGTTTCACTTTCTATAAGTAGCAGCAGAGTTTCGATGATCAGTTCTCAGGGTTTCCTACATGGATCAGTATTGTTGTTGGCAGCGGTATACTTGTTTGTAGCAGCATTTGATTGCTTATGGAAAATCCAGCCCATCATCTAATTGTCGATTGTGTACTCGGGCATCTTGTCGTACTTTTGCTTGGTGGCCTCGTGGCTGGTGTCCACCAGCAACGCCGTGTGCGAGTAACCCATAGTCACCTGAGGTATTTTCATGTTGTCCAACTTTGGGACCTCCTTGGGCACCGTCGACGACTTCTGAAACTCCCCGATGCCCAGCTCTCCGAACGTGGGCGATGCCCCCCAGGCGATCAATGTGTCGTCGGCTGAAATCATTATCGATGTGTTGGCACAGCCAATGTCGGTAATGTTCCAGCCGGACAGGTCTTGTACTGGCTTGGGGTACATATTGGCCTCTCCAGTCTTCTTATTCTGCCCAAATAGAAAGAGCAGGCCAAGTTCGTTGACGATCAAACTAAAAGTAGACCCACAGTATACGCTGCGCCCACCCCTTCCTTGGGTATCGAAGAACTTCATTAGTCGCGGTACCATCTCGTCCTTGGGCTCGGCGTGACCAAGGCGCCCAAAACCTCCAAAGCCCCAACTGTAAACGCGCTTCTTCGAGTCGATGGCCACCTGTAAAGCACAGGTTTCCCGTGAGATACCGCCAAATCAATGAATTAATGTCGTCTTACCGTGTGGTTGTTGCCGCAAGCAAAGTCCACGATCTGCACACCATCGACTGGCGTCACATGGCCCTCCTTGCTTTTCTCTATGTACAGCACCACTTTCTTGGGCGACGTCTCGAAGTGGAATGACAGCTTGTTGGCGTTTACAAAGTACTTTGCGTCCGTGTTGTGGCCCAGCTGGCCGTACTCTGGCAGCCCAAACGTGTGCAGGCTTCCCTTAATGTCCAGAATGACCGAGAACTCGGCCCCGCACCCGATCCGGATTATGGGCGGCCCACGGTAGTTGATCGGCGTAGGCGAATAGATGTTGGCGTGGGTGTTGCCCACGCCGCACTGGCCAGACTTGTTCTCGCCGCAGGCGTACACGGTACCCGTGTCGGTGAGAAATAGAGTGTGGTGCCGGCCAACAGCTGCCTGCACCACGTTCAGCTGCTCCAGGGCCGGAATGAGCGTGGGCTTCTCCGCCAGCTTGATGTCCTGGCTGAGGCCCAGCTGCCCGCTGGGATTGCGCCCGAAGCCGAGTGCCTTGCGGTCCATGTTGACGACAATGGTGTGGGCGGCACTTGGTCCGCTGGCCACATAGCGATACTGCAACAGAGAAACACTCTGAAAATCGTTCGAGGAGGCAATGGAAGATGTCTCACCTTCTCATCCGTGAACCGGTGAAAACTGTATAGGTTCGGGCGGACCTTTGTAACGTTTTTGCGGTCCCGTTTGCCGGTCAGGTCCCAGGTCACCATGCCTGCGAGCAGCATCTGGCCCGGGGTCTTCTCCAGCGTGGCCAGCAAGTCCTCAGGCAGCTTGCTGGGCGGATCAAGGTCGTCGTGGGGGATGAGCACCTCCATTTGGTTGGCGGCCGCCGCCTGCTGGTGCACGCCGTCCTCGTTGGACTCGTCGCTGAACTCGTCCTCGTAGTCCGACTCCTTCTTCTTCGGCCGCCGCTTGTTGGGGCCGGCTCCGTTGCCACCTGCCTTGCGCTTGGCCGACATTTTCTCAAAACTCGGATTGCTTCGGGACTGGACTGGATCTGTTTACGCGGCGGCTGCAAGGGAGTAGAGAAGATAAGTTTGGCCCTAAAAACCAGATCCAGTATTCGCACGCATCAGAGCGTAACGCTTAGTGTTTGCGCTATAATATACCCCTGTTTATGCACGACACGAAAATATGCATGAAATGAATCAATTATATTGCATGATCATGTCTTTGACTAATGGCCAACTTTTTAATGGACGTTCTTTAGGCGAATTTTATTTCAATTCAAAGAATCATAATACATTGAATTGTGTTAAAATTATTCTGAACTGAGCTTCGCATAAACACATGATTAGCCTCAAACCGCTCTCGCTCGTTTGGTGGTGTGTGTAGCGTGCACGTCTGTGTGTTCCTGTGTTAGTGTGGTGGTTTTCGCACAGAAACAAAATGAAAGCCGCAGCAAGCGACGCCAACAGATAGAGTGGATATTTTACGTATCCGATGAATGAGTTATTAAAATATAAAACAAGATTTAGATTTAGTGTAGCTGATGAGCAACTTTCACAACTTAAAAAAAAACAATCAGCAACTAAAGCAAGGGCGGAATGGCCGGCTCAAAAATAACCTTTTAAATGGTAGCGTCACTTTACAAACACTAAGACATTACACGGCTTCACCAAAACATAGGTGTTTGCTAATATTGGCTGCACTTTTTTTAATTCAAAGAAAAATATTATTATGACTTACAGTTCTGTGCACTGTTTTATTACTTTTCGCAATTAAATTACAAACAACAAACAACGCAGCTTACAGCGAAAGATGGAAGGCCAGTGGGACCGCGTCTTTACAGTACAACTAATATCGATAATTACAAATTATTTATTTTATTCGGTCCCCTATTCAAAACATCGATATTTTTTTGATAATTTCTTTGTTATAGTTTTGATATATTTTGTAAGCTTAAAAGATTTTGGGTATTCCCGAAACGACTGAATTTCTGAAAATTAAGCAGAATTATACTGAAATTCGGTCAGCTGTTGTTATGGCCACTTTAGAGATATCGATATCAACTCGGGCAATCGGCAAGCCCTGCCAACTTGTGTTGGTAGCCCTGCCATGTCGTGCGCCACCCCGCAAAGTTGGCGGGTAACGACCCTGGCTATTCGAAATCCGAACAACGAAGTTTTGGCTCATGGGTTGGTAGAAGAAGTAAGGAATGGCAGAAAAGATTAAGTCAAAGTCGAAGAAGGGCGTTTAAGCTGCTCGCTCCGAGAGTTTTTTTGTTCGGAGCTAACCAAAAATTAATGATTAAAAATCCACGCTTTTTATTTTGAGCAGATGGCAAGGACGGGACTAGCACATGAACTCCAGTCGACCAGGAGTGTCTAGCAAGATGACTAGTGTATAAGTAGCCGCACAGGCAATGGTGTTGAGCAATGTCGTTTGTCGTTGTTCATTGTTATGTGTGTGTTAGGGCAGGGTTCGGGGATTCAAGCCCTGAAAAGAGAGCTAGCCGGCGATAGCCCAAAACCACGCAGGTCCTAGTATGATCATAACAGTTGGCGCCTAATATAAATTAAAGTGCTGATCACTTTAATCTCCACAGGATTAGAGAAACCCAGAATTTCTGTTTTTTTTCAGAGGTCCAAAAAAAAACATTTGAACTGTCCCTCGAAAGACCGTCCACTGACATAAAGCGTTCAGCAAAAATGAGAGGACTTAGCTGCGACATCAGCAGCTAAGTATCGCAGGTTGGTAAACATACTTAAGAACTTATATACGCACACTTCGGAAAATTAAAAAACTTATTATAGACGTTGCATCTTGTTATAAATAAATAATATATATAAATTAAATAGATCTTAATGTAAAAAAACTACTTAAATGGGGGTAAACGAGAGGAAAGAATATTATAAGTAGTTACTAATTGTTCCTTTTTTAGTGTTAAATCCGGTGGCATCTGGGGACCAGAAGTACTGAAACAAAAGTCTTCAACCGCGATTGGATGAAAAACAAGATGACCTCTGCTATCAGACAAGAAATAGGGAATACCTTCTTGTGCGAAGCAGGATTGCACCTAAAAGAAAAAAAGGAATTAAGCTAGGTCAAATGTATAACAGTCTTGCTTTCTTTGGCGTTTGTTAACTACAAATCACCAATCGAATTGATGATTTATGCAGTTGACGAAGCAAAAGAGCAAAATGGTTATTCATGTTTTTTTTTGGTTGTATATAATCACAAGTTGGTATTCACACGCATATACTTGACTATTTATTTTTAATCACACACTCCATCCAATATCCGGGAAATCTATTTCTCCCATCTAAAAGTTTTATTTGATTGGAAATCCGTCGAATTAATTGTCAGTTAGGAACTTAGTTCGTGTAAGGTCTGTTGGAGACGGTGATGCTATTATATGCCTAAGATAATATGCTTTGGGATATTCTCCAAAGAGCATGGTACAATATTCCAATTGGAACTTATCGCAAGCTTTATACATCATGCCAAAACGAATGAAAAAATAATGGTGCATATACCGGCTATTAGATGCCAGATACCCAATTTAATATAAAACAGAGCCAAAAATAGTGATAAATTGTTTAAATTTTAACATTTACCTTCGTAAACCATAATTGTGTCCAGCCAAAATAAACGCATTTAAAGACAAAATGTAATTTTATGTTAATTAAGGAATTTGCTAATCTGTTTTTACTTTTTATTTAAAGACAATTACTAAAAGTCTTGAAAAAGCTTTAAATTGTTGAGATTAGAAAAGGTTTGAATTAAAAATAAAAACTCAAAAAAAAAGAGAAAGTAAACTTCGGCAAGCCGATGTTTATATACCCTTGCAGCTATATCAAAAATTAAATATTCTTGAAAAAATTTAATTTTTAATTTATTTGCGTATATGTTTGTCCTCAGGTGCTGCAATCGGGACATTTATAAATCCTGGCGTGCATGACCGTGACTCACCTGACTGGAGACGGCTTTTAAGTACATCGAAGGGCACGGCCAAAGTCCAAAACACAATGCCAGCCGTTCCGCCGGACAGAATCGTAGATGCGGTTCTAATCTTCCCTGTCTTGGACTTCTTCCTGGCCATTTCCTGAAGGAACTGGTAGGTCACGAAATAGAAGCCGGTGGGCGAGTCTGGGCTTACAAAACAGCATTACTAATAGGGCAAACAGCATTACTAATCCTCAACTCACCTCGCAGAATGCAGGCGCAGGTGCCCTTGAAGAGACTTCTGATCCCTATAAAGTTTGGCGACCGTGTCCATGGTCCCATTGTACAGCAGGGGTCCACTGGTGACGGCCTGTGTCTGCAGCAGGACCTTTATGCGGTCGGTGGGCACTGTGACGAGGGCGGAACAGACTCCCGCCAGCGCTCCGGCCATAAAAATCTGTGGGTAGGTGAGCCGCAGGTGCTCGTCTGTTAGGAACAACCGCTTGCCCGCAGCATAGACCGCAAAGTCCACGGCATAGAGGGGTGTGTAGCCGACCAGAGGAGCCGAGATCCCTCTGTAGAATCCCCGAAATCCCTCCTGGCGTAGAATGCGGGCGGCACAGTCCCCCCCGGCAAGGGCGTGGGCATGGTTTGGAGGCGCACCTAGGATGAAAAATGATAATTACATCGGCAGTTTGGTAGATTTCCAACTCACCTTTATGGTGTCCAGCGGATGGCCGACGACCACATTGCACATGCCACCCACGCCGCCCGCAATGAGGGACTTTACGGGGTTGGACTTCTTGGCCGTGGCGATCTCCACGTCCGTCATGGCGGCACTTTATTACTATTTACGTAAACCCAAGGGGGGATTCCGTCAGCCTCTCAAATGGGCGCACGTGTTCGATGATTGGGTCTACCGATTGGTTATGGTTATCTGCTTTTCGCGAGGTTGCTGACCTATGGTAATGCTGTGTGTTTCCGAAAAGTGCGTGGGTGCTACATCCATGATCAATTGGCGCTGCTCTTATCTATTCGAAAACATTACATTTGATTTTACCTGTTAGAGGTGGACCATCATCGACACTGACGTGGTTTTAAACATCAGTAGGAATCGGTGTTTTCCCATCCCTTATACATCGTTACATGCGGAATGTGTCTCAACTACCTGTGTCTCCACTAAATGCAGCGGGTTCCCTACCTCTATTGCTAAATGTTGTGTCTCTGTTAGCGGCGGAGTAAGTATTTGCTATTTGTGGATTAAGTCTTGGATATTAGCGGAGTAAGTCTCCACTACATGCAGATGTTAAGTTAACATCACGTTAACATTGAATCGATAGATTTAAGATTTTTTTACATCTTTTATACGGGTATGGCAGTGACAGAGACAATATGTATACTGCTTGACATTTCTTTGGTAATAAGTTCACGGTCACAATGCCTTTTTAACGTTAAATTCAAACGTTATTGTTTTGATTATTATATTGTGTTTATCCCGCAACTATTACAAAAATTAATCTTTTTTTAAAACGACAATATTTTGTCATAAATTTTGCTAACGAAAACAAAGAAAATGCAGATGAGTTTGAGCAAATCATTGAAATTTTGTAACAAATCGGAAAATTGCATAAAATTAATTTTCTTGGTGTTTTTTGTTTTCTAGATTTTTATTGGTTTTTTTAGTATTCCAGTTTTTTTTTAATTTTTCATAAAATGTTAGTTTTTCTTTCTTTTATTCTTTTTAAATTAAATTAATAACTCAAAGAAGAAAAGTTTGGATATGGTTAGTAAACAATTATACCAATTTAATAGTTTTAATAATGGGAAATCCTGTTTGTTGTAGATTACAATACTTCAAGACATTAACAAAAAAAGTATAAGCCTTTTTTATTGTTTTTCAAAAAGTACTTGGTTTAAAAAATAAATAATAAACAAAAATAATAATAAAAAAAGTGACAAATCGATTTATTACGTTTTCGTAATTATATTTGAGGTGTGAAATATTGTTTTCGCGGTATTACCTGTTTTGGTCTTCTTAATTAAATAAAAATGGTGTTTAAACTTGCATCTTTTAGTGGCTTTTTTTAAACTTTATTTTCTATATGTTTGAGATGTAGAATATTTTTATGATAATTATAATAATGAATTCTTTCTTAAAAATATTTGTATAAAGCTCTGACCGCGTAGTTTTTGCAGCAATGAAAAATTTTTGAACGAAACTTCGGAAAAAAATAAAAAATACATACGCGTCGTACAAAAACTAAGCTTCAGATAATATTTATATTTAATACTAAAGACTGAACAGAATGAAGACAAATTGCATAAATATTAAATTTACAAAAATCAAAGAGTCTTAAAGGCCTTAGGATCTCTATTTATAATTATTTCAGTACCTTGTACCTTAGCTCTGATACAGTCAGACGATGAAATAATTTCAATTTTTGAAAAACGCTTATGTGTCCGTTTTATATTTATATTAAATATTAATTCATCTCAAAAGTTTTCGTGCAAGAAACCATAAAACATTCAAAATTGGTATTTTCCACCAGCTTATGCTGAATAGTAGTAGATCATATCACGTAAACTGGAATTAGAAGCATCATGGTGATTTGGCAAAATATATATATATATATATAATATAAAAAGGGTTTTCAATAGGTGCGCTTCAACTTCGACCGAATTGGACTTCGTAAAACGTGCACGCGGTGGTCATGCGAAAGAAATCGAGTTTCATAATTAAATTTATATGTTCAAATTCGATAACAAAAAAAAAGTTAGTTGAAAAGTCAAACCGTTTGTGTTTTATTAAAAAAAAAGATATCATATAGCTTCCATAGGAAAGATTGAATAATTAAACTGTAAATCATCATAGCTTCAATGTTTTTAAACTTATACGCGAGTAAATCATAATTTTAAT